GGCCGTCAGCTTGTGGAGCACGTGTGAAGAAAACCGTTGACGTGGGCCGCACACAATTAAAGGCGCCACGTGTGCGGTATTTGATTGGGAATCACGTGATTAAGGTGGCCGAAGGCACAGGGGTGGGACAGAGCGTGGCTTGTTATGGTAACGCAGTCACGGGCTTATTGTCATGAGCCAATCTATATAAGGTTATAATTGGGACTTACGTTATCATTAATCACTCGTGTATAGAGTTATGATTAGATAGAGATGTCAAAGGAGAAGATAGATTTTTATGTTAAAAAATTTTTTTTATTTTAAATATTATAATAATTAGTGGTAGTATAATTTTAAAATTTTTTAAATTTTTTAAGGGGTGAGTAGACGATGTATTATTGTTGAATTGTTTTATTAGTTAGGTATAGACGTAAGCCACCTATCAATAGTTGTTTCTGGTCCGGATAATGGTGTGAAGTTTTGATGTATCATTTTCGACAATAATAAAATACGTCTTTTATTTAAAAATCTCAAATATTATTTTAATGTATTTTTTGTTCTCTCGATATGAATGAATCTTTTTGTGTATACTTAAAATTAATTGTAATTTATAGTTATTTGTTCAAATATCAAACTATCATTGATTGACTTAAATGAAAATATTCATTCAAGTGTTACACGATCTACCGCTTGTTAAAAAAAAGCTTAACCCGTAACACTTATTTTGTGTTAGGAGAGTCCGTTTACATTCATCACCGCCCACAATGAATCAAGTATTCTTCGCATCGTCACAACGTAAGTAAAATACTTATTATTCAAGTTAGTATAAAATTAAAAATTTAAGTTATTCGTGAACATCAATTTGTGGATGATGACAAAGGCTAATCTTAATATCAAAATTAACCGCGCGTGATCAATGCCGTCTTTAAATATAAGTACACTATTAAGAAAGCTGATACGTAACCATCCATTAGCATGCAATGACAGAAACTTGTACTCTTCAATAACCATAATTAATCACTTTGTTTATGTCATGAAAAGCCTGATTACCCTTCACCTTCGTAATGATCATTGGCTTCCACTGAATTTTAATAAACAAAGTATTTCTTGAATCTCATGATAACTAATTAAATTAAGTCCCACTTAAATTTAAAGTTTAATTTAAACTATTCATAAAATATTACATTAGTATTTAAATTTTAGCACGTAATATTTTTATTTTTAAGTTATGATTTTTTTAAATAATTATAATTTTCATATGACCTTATGAAATTTATATAGTATAAAACTTATTTATTGTCTAAAATTGATTGGAAACGGGATTAGTTATATTAAGATAAAAGTTAGTTTAGTTTTATTTTTTGTTACTATTAGTATTAGTCCAACCACTTGATTTTTTTTTCGTTTTTGAGTAAAAGAAAAATGAAAGTGTGTTTGAATGCAAAAAGTAAAAATGTTTTCGAATAATTAAATATTCAAAATAAAAAAATTCATTTAAAATATATCATTTTATTTTTTATATAATTATTATCTTTTAATTGAGGTTATATTTTATTTATTTAATTATTTTATTGATTTGGGAAAAAATTGGAATATTATTTTAAGCCAAGAGATTATATACCCATTATCGAGTTAATGTTCAAATGAATTTATTTAATTATATATTTTTAATCCAAGACTGTTCTAGTTCATACATTAGTATTTAAATACTTATGCCTTGTAATAATTATTATTAGAGTTAATGTTATGAATTATTTTTAAATTATAACGAACTATTTAATGTGATACTTAAATTATAAATCTATTAACTAATATGATATTCACTCTAACATGATTAGATCTAAAAGATTATATATATTGCACAAATAATTTCCAAGTATCAAATTAATTGACAAATTTATAATTTAAGTGTCATATTAAAAAAAAATCTTTAATATGATATCTATTGTTAATTAATGTATATTTCTGTTAACATGATTAGTTTCAAATGATGATACATAATGTACAAACAAATTTTAAGTACTAAATTAATTAATAAATTTGTAATTCAAGTATTACATAAAAAATCTAAAATTTAAGTATTATATTAAATATTTTATTATAATTTAAAAATAATTCATAACATTAATCTTTAATAACCAATTTAACATTTGTCAAAATAGCTAGTACATGATTCTAATTACTTAAAAAACACATTGAAATTCTATCTTACCATAAAAAACTAAAGTAGAAAATGAAGCATTAACTTATTAGAAAAAGACCCATATTTCTTTTTGTTTGCAAGGTAGGCATTGTAAAATGACCAAAATTTTACACTTTTTTTTTTCAGAAGTTGATGGGAAATGATTAAAAATTGAAACAAAAACAAGGGTTTTTTTTTTTTTTTTTTCATAATTTAGTTGATGAAAAGTAACACATGCACTATTGCTTTATTATTGCGAGAATCTAATCAAGTGACCAATTATTCTTTTGCCCTTTTCCCTTCTATATATAGTGGTTAAAGCAGTAATTAGTAGTTGCATTAAGGCAGTTCCTGGTTGTTGAAATTCTAACCTAAAACTTCATGCTGGTTTTTCTTCTTTTACAAAAGAGGTTTTAAATTCAAATTCTCCTCCTTAAAACTATCTAAATGATGCAACCTTATTTATTTGCTTGTTTTTAGGGATAAATCAGCTTTTATTAGTTAATACTATCAATCATTTATTAGTTAATACTATCAATCTTATAACAACCGAATAGAGGAAAATGAAAGAAAAAAGAGGAGTGGGGTTGGCACATGGAATGAGAGAGATGGATGCAAATTAACCAGAACAAATGCTCATTAGATCCTTCACAATACAGCAGTTTTAGGGAACAATTTTTAATTACCCAAAAAAAATATATAAAATCAATTTAGTTTTAATTAATGGATTTTTATTTTATACAACATTTTAAAATTAGTTTAAGAGTAAATAAGAGATTTTTAAATCTTGAGATTTAAATTCAAATTTTATTTTGTGAGAATTTTATTTTAATTTTATGTTAAATTTATATAGTTATAATCTAATTTATTAATTTGATTATTTAATATTTTATTATATATGGATATAATATTATAATTGATTATGATAATAATTTATATTTATAATTTCATGAAAGAATTTTATTATATTTTATATTATATCAATTTATTAATTATTTTAAAATATATTAAATAATATGTGACAATCATTTAATTTGATATGTGCTTGGCAACTAATTTTTGTTAATTGTTATGTCAGAAAATATTAATTTGATAAATAAGACAATTAATTAGGAGGTTAATCAACACAGAAAGGACATGTCTTACCAAAAAGACTGAAAAGACTTTGGCTTTGGTTGTAGAGAAAAAAAAGATACAAAGGTCACTTGTCCCTATAAAAAACTACATTTGTTCTTCTAAAATTACGGGACTGTTTTGTGGGGTCCTCGTCAACCCCTTTCTCAGTCAAGTCTTGTTCGATTATCCTGTAAGTGAATGACTAAAATTATAGTTAAACTTCTTAGTCTCAACTGTCAAATATCATAGGGAGGAAACAAAACATCTCCACCAGCCTTGCTTTCAATTTCAAACTCAACACTAATTATTAGGTAGCGCAGTCATCGATTAGATTTTAAAATAATAAATTGAATTACTTGTTTTTTTGTTTAAAAATTAAGACTGATCTACTTATTTTTAATAATAAAAACAATTAAACTGAAATAAATCAAACGGTTTCATCAAATTACCGAAATTTTCATATTTTTTATCATTAATTTTTGAAACAATTTTTATTTTATAAAATTCATCTCATAATTTTATAATCAATGTTATATTTTTACTTTTAAAAATATAAATAACAATATTATTATAATATATTAAAAATAAATTAATTTTATCAATTCAATTATTAATTTTAAATATAAAAATTTAATTAAATAAAATTTTTAATCAGTGAAACTAAACAAATCAAATCAATTTGATTGAATTCAATCAATTTCAATCAATTAAACTAAATAAGATCAACGTAAGCTTACCCTAACTGAAAATTACTTTCACCCTAAAGTCAAACAGTTAAGACAATACTTATTATATTACAAAGAAATAGTCAAATACTATCAACAAATATATATATTTTTTTAGTTAGAAAATGAAACTCAATTTTTTAGAAAAAATACATTTACCATTATCGAGATAAATGCTAAAATATTTTAATGTTTATTTTATTCTCTTAGTACGTTACATCTATTCAATTATTATAATTTTACCAAAGTAGACTGCACATAAAAATGAAACATCATATCTTATCAAAAATTTTCTTCCTATAATGCCTTTAGCCTTCTATTTTGACCCAAAATACATGAATTTTACATTTAAAAAAATGGGAATATTAATCTGTTTATAGCTTAGCAGTGGAGTATAATAGTGATACTCTTTAAAAAATATTATCTCAAATATTGTCCATAAAATTTTTGTAAAAGTTAAAAATTTGATGAATTAAACGATTTGTTTAAAACAATTAATAAATTAATTTATTATAAAAATATTTGATAATAGTTTTTTTTTTTTTTATGAATGTCCTACCAGTTTTCATGCTCATTTAATGAACTTGTTATTAAATCCGATAAAAAAAAATCTATGTTCTAAGTATTTTGGTCCAATGTAATGTACAGGGTGGGACCATTTCATAATTTCAATTAAAAAAATAGCACTAAAATGAAACCTCGAATAATGTTTGAATTAATAAATTAATTTTTTTGCTCTCAAATAGTTTAGGTGGTTGATTTTTATGGAATTTTAAAAAAATTGATTTTAATGTATTTAACATTAAAATTTAAAATTTTTTTTAAAATTTCAAAGTAAAAGATTTAAATATTAAAACGATATATATATATATATAATTTTGAAAAGAAAAGAAGGACTAAGAGAATACCAATTAAGGTAAGTTAAAATAAGCGAATCAAGTGTTTAATAATTTTAACTTGTAAAACTGGGATGTGTGTTCTCTTTTAGGTCTGGTTGGCCAACTTTAAAAGCAAACAAACTGACTGTTAAGCGTAAAAAAACATAACACTACCCTCGCTTCTCTCTTCCTTGAGAACCTAACACGTCCATATATAAGCCTTAACATGACCTTCAACCTTGGTCAAGGCTAGGAAGAAGAGCTGGCTTGGAACGGAGAGTCTGTCTGATCAGACAGCAACAGACAGAAATGAAAATGGTGCAAAATGGTTTTGTTGGAGAAGAAGAAGAAAGGGTGAGTTCTGGTGGTGGAACGGTGGTTGTTGGAGTGAAGCTTGATTCACCAAGTAGAGAGCTTTTGACATGGGCTTTGGTTAAGGTGGCTCAGCCTGGTGACTCTGTGATTGCTCTTCATGTTCTTGGTAACAATGGTCAGTATTTTTTTTTCTCTGTCCTGTTTCAGGGTTTAAAATTTTTTTTGTTAAAAATTTTTGTGGGGTTTAATTATTTTTGGTGCTTTAATGAAGTGATATTTTTTTTTGTGTAGAAATTGTGGATCGAGATGGGAAGTCTTCGCTTTTATCGCTTGTCAAAGCGTTTGACTCTGTTCTTGCTGTTTATGACGGATTCTGTAATTTGAAACAGGTTCAGTTTCTTGCTCACCTTTACTCTTTCTATGCTTCTAGCCTTTTTTTCAATGATAAATTTGTTAATCTCATATTTCTCTGTTTAGTCAATTGGAAAATGAAGGAGAATCAGAAATGGAGATTTGGCCTTTTCCTGCTTGCAGTTAGCTGCAATGCCAAGAATAATTGATTCAGCATTTCCAGGCCAAATTTAGGACTTAAAAAAGAGTTGGTTTTTGGTGATCATTTTGCAGGTGGATCTCAAACTTAAGATATGCAGAGGTTCTTCAATTCGCAAAATTTTAGTGATGGAAGCAAAATCTTATTCTGCAACTAAGCTTATAGTTGGAACCGCTGCCAAACTCCATAAAATCCGGTCGTCGACTTCGATAGCTAAGTACTGTGCTAAGAAACTAACAAAAAACTGTTCAGTTCTTGCTGTTAATAATGGGAAAGTTGTGTTCCAGAGGGAAGGTTCTCCAGCTAGCAATTTTAGTTCAAAAGGTAAAAGATTTTGTTTTGGCTATCCAGTTGTTGGATGTTGATGTAAATTTTGAAAGGCTACTAAGGAATTTCTCTGTTTTGTATTTGTTACAGGAAGTGAAGTTCAGAAAAGAAATAGTTTGCTTAATGCAATTCAGCGAACTATGACATTGAACAGGAATTCTAGAGTATTAACTGAAGGAAATGCCAATGCTGAGACCAATCTGAATTCTGGTGAAACTAAGGACAAAAATTTGGAGCAGGCGTTATTAAAAACCAGTTCGGGCAGCTTGGAGTGTGCTCCAAAGCAAAATTGCTCAATTTGTGGATCCAGTAATAAGCTGTTGCTACATAATTCTTGTCATCAATCTGCAAAAGAGTCTTCTTATGATGATGTTAATGATGGAGGATACAAATCCTTGGCTATAGTGCCAGTGCAAAAGGCTGAGGCTGCATCTAGTTCCATTTCTATGTTGATCAAACAGTTGCCTGGAATCAGACCTGGCTGGCCTTTACTTCGCCGTGCAGTTTTATCAGATGGACAGCAACAAGTTACTCCTGACCGATCTTCATTGAGGCAGATATCTGTGGTTCAGTGGGTGATGCGATTGCCCTCTAGGCGTACTTTGTGCATAGCCAATTCAGATCAGAAACAAGATAAGTCTTCTAATTTTGATGGAGAAAGCGGTGCAATTGTTCCAGTTGGTACGGAGAATGTCATTGCTCCACCTTCTCCTGATCACAACTCAATAAACCTGTCAAAAGAATTGGAAGGTCTTCATGAGAAATACTCTGCAACTTGCAGATTATTTAAGTACCATGAACTTCTCTCAGCAACATCAAATTTCTTGGCTGGTTTGTTTTACTCATCATTCCTCTCTGCAACAATTTACTTTACTCCCTCCTCTAGAAATTGGTTGACTTGACCTTTTTTCTTCTTTTCTTGTTTTATTTTCAGAAAATTTGATTGGAAAAGGTGGCAGTAGTCAGGTTTATAGAGGTTGCCTTCAAGACGGCAAAGAACTTGCTGTGAAAATCCTAAAGCCTTCTGAAGATGTATTGAAGGAGTTTGTTTTGGAAATTGAGATTATTACTACATTACATCATAAGAACATTATTTCCCTCTTGGGTTTCTGCTATGAGGATAACAATCTTCTCCTGGTTTATGATTTCTTATCAAGAGGAAGCCTTGAAGAAAACCTTCATGGTAAGTTAATGCATAATATTCTAGGTTTTGAGATTGAAGAGAGATAGGAGCTTTTTATGTTGCTTGATATCAGAAGTTAGTTTCTCAGTTGCTTAATGATTCAGGAAATAAAAAGGACCCTGATGCATTTGGTTGGAGTGAAAGATACAAGGTGGCACTTGGGGTAGCAGAGGTCTTAGATTATCTCCATACTAACAGTGAGCACCCTGTAATCCATAGGGATGTTAAATCTTCAAACATACTACTGTCTGATGATTTTGAGCCGCAGGTATATTTCATTTTTGACTTCCAAGTCTTTTGCTCTCAAATTTGAATTAGCTCCAATAACAAATTTTCATGTTTTCTGCCTGGTTTATGCAGCTCTCAGATTTTGGACTCGCTAAATGGGCACCAACCTCTTCTTCACATATAACCTGCACAGATGTTGCAGGAACCTTTGGGTATGTAACTTCAAATGCTCTAGCTCGTTGGTTTGTAATTGTGTCCATTTATTTCAAGGGGCAATATAATGTTCAAAAATGAAAATTTCTCCAAGACTATGCGGAACAATTGAAAATTTTGTTGGGAAAAAGGTTGTTACAGCTTATTCATTAATTAATGATTTTACCATTTGCTTCAGCTATTTGGCTCCTGAGTACTTCATGTATGGCAAAGTAAACAACAAGATTGATGTTTATGCATTTGGGGTAGTGCTGCTTGAGCTGCTGTCCGGAAGAAAGCCTATAAGCAATGACTATCCAAAGGGCCAGGAGAGCTTGGTCATGTGGGTATGTCCTTTTTGCTCATGTGACTCATCATTTTTAATCCACCTTTCCGTTTGGCTTCTAAAATAAAATTGACTATGTTTAGGCAAAGCCAAATTTAAATGGTGGGAAGGTTTCCCAATTATTAGACCCAAGCTTGGCTGATGGCTATGATCGTGATCAGATGGAGAGGATGGTTCTCGCTGCCACGCTTTGTATTAGACGTGATCCACGTGCTAGACCTCAAATGAGTGTGGTAATCATCTTTGATCCTTCCTAATCAGACTATAGTAATTTTTTTTTTTTTGTGTAAAACTTTTCTGGTCAGCCAAATCTTTCTGGCGGCACAAGAAAGCAGGAACAAGAGGAAAAAAAAAACAAGTTTCTCTTATTAAAATTTGCCTTACTTTGCTAAGGTCAAAAGGTGTATTTTCTTTTTGAAAAAGGATAGTTGTTTGTTTTGGTGCTAAGACCTTGTTCAAGTAGATAAATTTACTTCTTTTGGTTCTTGGGTGTAAAAATAGATAATTAATTTTGTTGAATGTGTCGGCCAAAGGTTGTGAAGCTCCTTCAAGGTGATGCTGATGTGACCAACTGGGCAAGACTACAAGTCAATGCCTTGGAAGGATCTGATACATTGGATGATGAAGCTTGTCCTCGGTCAAACCTTCAATCTCATCTTAGTCTTGCATTGCTTGATATGGAGGACGATTCACTCTCCATGAGCAGCATTGAGCAATCTGTATCATTAGAGGACTACCTCAATGGTAGATGGAGCCGTTCATCAAGCTTCGACTAACCTCAATATACTGGCAAGCTAAGCTGCAAATAAGCATTCTTCCATGTATGGAATTTCCCCCCTTGTATATTCTTTTGGTTTTCTTTATTTTTTTTTACTCTTTCCTTTGAATGGGGCTGCTTACATTAGGTGTTGGATGAGAGGTTTGTTTCCCTGGTGTGCCCTCCTCCTTCCCTATCTATTCAATCGATATTCTGCATTTGTGGGGCTGCTTTCTCAATCATCCCCTCTTTTTTTTTTTGTTTGCTTGTTGTTCTTAAAGGTGTTGGTTTTGCTCCTTGATCACAATTAGATTAGGAGTGGAATATATTGTACTGGTGGAAGCTAATTGTGTTGTAATCGCGGAGTATTTTCTCATAAAAGTTGAGTATAAAAGTAAGCATTGCTCTGAATTTGCCCCAAGCTTGGCTAATAAGAGCAATTTTGCTTGGAATTCTACTTCATTTACATCTGCTGTAACTTTAATGGTTCAAAAATGCTCATACAATGATCCACGAAAGTCATTTTCATCTTTCCAACTTGTTTCTGTTGCCATTCAATTGGCTTTCAATACACTGTTTCAAGATTCTTTTGACCCAATCAGCAATGCCCATCTTTCGGCTCCTCACTTTCTGCTCAAATCTTTATTTCTATCACACATTTCATCACTTTTTAGACAACATGAAAAGTCATGAAATTGTACTACAACAATAGGACTACAACAATACAACCACCCTTTGGGAGCCCACTTCACTCACTGTCTCCACCGACACTTGAAATTTCCATCGGCTCCTTGCCCCTTCCTCTCCCATGACTTTCTTCTTTTAAGCAATTGCCAATTCTCACCGCTCACCACACCTAGTTAGTTGAGCACAAGTAATGCTTGGCCTTTTCTTAATTTTGCATTTATTTCTGAACTAGTTAATGCAATTAGTTATATATTTTTTTTCAAAGAAAACTGTAGCTTAAAGATGAAAGAAAGATTTGAAAATAATAAAATTAGAATTTCAAACTTATTGAATATCATGAATCAATTAAATTAAATTATAAATTAGCATTCAACTATATTTGGCTTCAGCATGCAAAGACTTTCATTTAAATAAGTAAAATTCTAGTCTAATTTAGAGAAAAAAACTTAACGAGTAATACAAGAAGTATACTAAAAGAGTAATGCATGGCGTACAAGTCTTTCATATTTCTACTAAGAAGCTAACAACCGTCACTGTTGAATTAATTGGTTTTCATGTGGCTTTACCCCTCTGAATAGACATACTTTCATTTTCATGCTGCCATCAGCATCATCAATTTTTGATCCGTTGAAACCTTTATTTCTCGAGTCATTTGGTGTCTCTAGCTCTTTTCAAAACCTATTATCTCTATATTGAGCAAAGGTCAACCTCTATCTCCATACCTATCCAATTCAATCCCCCCAAGTTTTCAGCTTTTCACGACAGCCCATGTTCTTCCCCAAGACATCCTCACTTGGGTACCTTTAAGATTTGGAAAGGAAATTGATGGGTTATTAATATTTCTAGTTTTAGCAGATGGGATTTTGTATGGCTCTTAGTCATGTTGATTATTGGGTTGTCACATGCATTTAATATGAAGTAGACTTCAGGTTTTGCCTATTGGCTGCTTGTATTTGTGGCTTTTTGGCTCAAATGGTCAAATAGGCAGAGGAAGGAGGATGGGGATTAATCCAATTTGTCTAGCAGTATTTTTGGATAAATGCGAGAAGGGAAATTTTTATTTGAATTCTGGTTTTACTATATCACAACTTAGAGTTTAGTCTACCAAATTTATTAGTAATAAATAAACAAAATAATTTGGCTTTATCATTACTCTTTAAAAAAATCATGAATTTAAAGAAAATAGCATTGTTCACCTTTGATAATGATCTTCAGAAAAAGATATCAATTTTACCCATATTTAATGGGTAATTTGATTTTTTATCTAAATAAAAATGAAAATAAGTATTAAAGTTTGAGATAGGATGTAAATAAATATGATTTAAAATTTTTTGTTGGGTACGAGAACAGCCCTCTATCCATACTCTCTATATATTTATATATTTAGTAAATAATTTTTTTATTAAATAATATAAATTTTTATTTTAAATTAATTAGAACGAATTTTTATTTAAAAATATATTAATATATATTTATAAAAAATTACATAAATATGAAAATTTTAGCTTTTATTTTTTTAAAAAAAGCTATAGTTATTAGGATTATCTATATCTATTAAATATCTACGAGAATGTGAATGAAAATAAATTTAAAATATCATCGTGTATGGATATACGAATGAATATAATATAAAAATTTTAGAAAGTTGATATTATACCACACTTATCCAATGACATCCTACTTGAGAATTAAAAATTAAGATTATGAAAATTAAAATTTTATAAAAAAATCTAAAATATATATTTTCTATCATAAATTAAAGATTATACCACACAAATAACTAATAATTTTTAGAAGTAGTAATAGTATATTGCTCTTAAATATTATACTTATTTATTATATAAGTGCAAAAAAAATGTGTATTAGATGAATACGTAAGTATAGCATTTTTAAAATTTTAATTACCTTATAATATGTTAGATTATTTAACTCGATATAAAGCTGGTCGCATGTTTGGTATAAGACCTGCAGCCTTTTCTTTTAACAAAAAGAAAGCAGCTACAAGCCAGAAATAATTGAGCTTTTAATTATTTACATGATTCTGCAAAATCTGTAGTTGAGACCGGTTTTTGGATAAGTAGGCTTGAAAGTTGGAATATGAGGCTGGTTTAGTGGTTTTTTTTTTTTTTGTTTTTTGGTTACGGGGAATGGTTTAATTCAAGTCTTATTCACCAAGAATTATAAAACCTATATATTTGTTTTCAAGGTAAATTATATAAATATACCACTAGGTTTAACGTAATTTAACATTGTTTCCTGAGATTTAAAAAATGATATTTAATTACTTTGAATTGTGTATTCATGACATTCTGTTAGTTTTTATTAATACTGTTAACGCTTAATCAATAAACTCTAACTCTTTTTCAATTTTTTTTGTTTACTATTTTTCATATTCAAACTTTTCAAAGAAAAATTGAGCTAGAAGCATGAATTCTTCACAATCTTCAACAAGTAAGGGATCAAATGTTGGAAAAGTATGCTATTATGGTGTGTGCTGCCAGTTGATCTTCTCCTTCTTCCTCTATCTTCTTTGTTTTAAAAACTTAAAAATTCTCAAAAAATTCAAATTGAAACTCACAGTAAAAAAAACCCTTTGTTGATGAGTTATTATGGCTATTATGTGGATTTGTGATTACTTTGTAGGTTTACTAGGTATGAGTAATTTAGAGTGGATTCAGGTTTTGTGAGTTTTTCTGGTGGTTATTAGGTTTGTTTATGCACTTCTTCTAGGCTATTTGCTTTGTTGATGGTTGTCTTTAGAAATTGGTGTGACCGTTGAATGGAAATTGGTGTTTGTTTGATGCTTGATACAATTTTTAATAGTAAAAATTTCATTCCTAAAAAGACATAAAACTTAGAATTTGCATACAAATAGATAAGCAAAAAAATTGAAAATCTCAACTAAGAACAATCAACACAGCCAAAGAACATAGTAAAATCTAATAGCAAAATCAAAATTTTGGGTTTTGGTTTGAGATTGCTTTTCTTGGTTTGTGAAGAAGAGTTTTTCGATGGTTTTGAATTTGGTTGTTTTTAAGGGTTTCTTTTCAAATAAGGAGAAAGAGATGTTACTGGTAGAAGAAAGTATGGCAGTATAGTGGGTTCTCGGGCTTTAGTATTGGGTTTCTTTTTTTGGTTTACAGTGGTGATCATTGGTAATGAAAAATGATAACAGCAACCAATAGTGAAAGCATAGTGGATGGTGATGGTGAGTTTCGACAAAATATGAGATCGTGTTTTCTTCAATTCTAAAAAAAAAGCAAAGAACTTAACTTAAGAAGAAAGAGCTGTTGCAAAAAAATTGAAGCATTAGAAAGAAGAGAACTAGAGGAAATAAGTTTTATTAAAGATTACTTTTATAAAGAGAGAATTCATCTTATTTTAGAGAGAGAAAATGAATTGAAGATGAAAAAATTAAAAAAAAAAGTGACGTTTTTGGATAAAAATATAATAAAAAAAATCATAGGATAGTTAAGTGTCATATTTTAAACCTCAAGGGAAAAACTCAAATCAGTTTTAACCATAGAGTATATTTATGTAATTTACCATTGTTTTTATGTATTGACAATATAATTTTATTTATTTCATAAATAAAATTAAGAGATTGTTATATATTTTATTTTTTAATTATTTTAAAATATATTTAAAAATATGTCTAATAATTCTATTTGTGAAATTTAAAAACCATCTTATATATATAATTTTTTATATATAAAATTACAAAACCTTATAAAACCAAGAATTGAAGTAATATTTTGTTTTCACTATAACAGAGCAAGACAAGAACAATAAAGAAGGCAAAAGGTTTCAAAATTATAAATCATATCCTTTTAATGATGAAAAAGTTAATTGATTATATATATTAATCATTGATAGGGAAATGATAATAGGTAATTGACAATTTTAATGGAAAATTTTAAAAGTATTATTTTATATATGATCAAAGAATTTTTTTCCAAGATCAGTGAGAAAGCATGTTCTCCTTGTAATTTATGAAGGTGTTAATGTGGCTACATTGGTCACAGAATGGATGAATGTCCATTAAAGATTTTTAAGTATGCTACAATGGTGAGTGAAAATAGTAACCCGAATAGAAAGTAGTAAAAAACACTAGCTACAATTGCCATGGATGTTGGTGTCAAGAAGTAAACATGATAAATCGAAAACCCATTCCCACAATGCTCAGCTATTAACCTAAAACCAAAATCCTCTAGTGTTTAATTCAGACCAAATTCCAATGGTAAAAAAAATAGTATAAGCAAGTTGGCAACTCTTTTTGTAAAACCTGTGTCATCCAGTCTTCAGGAAATGCAAAAGAATATCCTTGTAATTTGCTACATAATTTACAATATAGACATTAACTTAAGTTTTGAATAAAACAATTTGATGAAAATATGAAATTGAAATCATTTTAAAATTTTAAGAGTTTAAATATGTTAGAATATTTAGTGGTCCAAAGGGTATGATGATTTTTTTCCTCATTAGAGGCTTATGATAGACAATCAGGAGCATTTTAGACATTTAAGCCAACCTAACATGTCGGGTCAGCCTGACACATTTAGTGTCACATCAACTTAGTCACATTATTGTTGTCCCCTATTAATCCCTTACCTCTCATCTATAAATATAAACAACTAGACATTATCATCATAGGTTCCATCTTGTCTCCACCCTTTACTCTTTTCTCATTTTGACATCTTTTATTTTGATTTCTAACTTGCGTGTTAGAGTGCAAATGCAGAGAACACTCATTACCTATGCACCTAATCGCTCTCTTCTTTTTTTTATCCTTTTAAGAGTATTTTTATGTCAAAGCTTGCCATCAACATTTAAAGTACCAGGTAAGGGCTTTCTATTCATCAGTCAAGTATAAGACAATGTCGCATAAAAAAATAGCTCTAAAGGAAGGAGAGATGGCCTCTAAGCTAAAACAGAAACATACAACAACTAGTATTCAGATCAACTTGCCTCATAATAGGTTGGTCCAAGCATGGAGCAGTTTCAAGCTCTAACTAAGCATATACAAGCTTTT